AACAGTGACCCTTAGACATCACTGTAAGGGCAGTAATTAATGAGTATCTACTGTTCTGTCAGAAAAAAGCCAGGCGTTGCAGCAACTGGGGCAAGAGGCATGCATAGATGATTACAGTGGTATCACAAGCTCACAATAGTGACACGTAAGATGGAGGTGGAGTCCAGAGAAAGCAATGTTTAAATGTCCTTAGGAAGAAAAAGAGGTAGCTTTTGAGCTGTATCTTTGACAGTATAGAATGATTACATTTTTTTCACACAGAAGGCTATGCAGTGTTCTAGAATGGGAAATCCACATTTCCTTGTATACACAGGAAAGAATAAAGGTAATATTTGAAGGCATGCAAGGATATCAATATTGTGGGCATGTGGGCAAAGGTAATGGGAACTGAAGGATAATGTAACTAATTGCATATCAGGTGTGATTAGAAAGTTTCTATCTATTCTCTATTCTTTCAATTTTTTATTTATATTTCATGTGTCTGAGCGTTTTTCCTGCATGTAAGTGCACACATGTTGTGCAATGCCCACAGAGATCAGAAGAGGGTGTCAGATCCCCTGGAACTGGAGTTATGTATGGTTTTTAGCTGCCATGTTTGTGCTGGGAATCAAACCCAGGTCCTCTGCAAAAGCAGCCAGTGCTCTTAACTGCTGAGCCATCTCTCCAGCTCCTCTCTTCCATTCTTTAATCCCAATGTCAAAGCCTTAGAATAAACACACCCATATCCTACTGTCTTTCAAGGGAAACGTGTTCCAAAATTTCGGGTCCCAAGACATTCACTAGAATTCAAATTCCTACCCCACAATTTCCATTTAGCTTCAAATTCTCTGTGGGCCAATAAATAAGGATGACTAAGCTCCTACTATGTGACAGTAACTGGCGGCTGCTGAGCTAGGGATCAACTAAAAGGTGCTCCATTTGCCTTGCTGACCATTCCCAACTAGGAAACTCATCTGTGTAAAAGCACTGAATGGTGCTTCAAACCTGCTGGTGAACAGCATCAATTCACTCTCTGCACCAAGAACCATTTCTAAGTACACAGCATTGTACGGATCTTCTTCCCCATTGCTAGAAGTAAGCCCACTTTTAGGTCTATCCAAACAGTGGAGCACTCAGATTATTAACTCGACCTCATGAACACTGCTGTGGCATGGATGTACTTTGTACCCCAGAGGCCCATATGTTGAGAATGTGGTCTTCAGTGTGACAATGTTGGGAGGTGGACTCTCTATCAAATGGAGCCCAGTGGGAAGATGCTAGGTCAGTTGGTGGTGTGCCGGTGATAGCGGCTGATGTGTCACTGCTACTTTCTTACTGAAACATTTCCTCCTAAAAGGAAGTTCATTAAGACTGAGGAAGTAAAGGAAACTTACAAATTTCAGGAAGCTCTTGAAATTTACAAGATTCACAAGGTGCCCCCTTCAAGGTTATACAAGCAATAACTAATCACAGGGGAGAGAAGACTGTCCAACTGACTTGGTTGTACACAAGTCATGCAGAGAGCACCTGGGATGCAGCTCTCCCCAGTTGTCACCATGCTGGACTGGGCTGGTCAGACCCCAAGAAACTTACTAGTTCACTCAGCTAGACCTAGTGGAACTGTTTCTTTGGTCTGTTGTGGGTGTTCCATCTGGGATGAATACAAATCTGTTCATGTCTTCCCAGAAGTCACACAACAGGGATTATTGTAGTTCTGGTGGGGCTTTGGCTAGTTCTCATAGGTTGTAGGTCATTATAAAGCCATGGATGGGGGCTGGAGAGAGAGCTCAGCACTTAAGGGCACTGGCTGTTTCTTGCTGAGGGATCTTGGTTCAATTCCCAGCATTCACATAGCAGCTAACTCCAGTTCCAGGAGATCCAAGGCCCACTTCTGACCTCAGGCATTGCATGACATGGGTGCACTTACATACACGTAGTCAATACACTCATACACATAAAATAAAGAGATTGAAGACCCTGTCGTGGTCCCATTGTCTCTCCGTCTTATCATCTGGCAGGGGTGGTCCCTTTCTCCCACATGTGCTATGCCATTGTCACTGGCTATTATGTGGCGCAGCCAAGAAGACCCTTGCTAGAACTAAGCCACCATCAGGGCCACACCCCTAAATATCCTAAACTGTCAGCTAAAGTGACCTATTTTTCTGAATAAGTAGCTTTGCTTCAGCATTTTTGTTATAGGCACTAAACTGAGTCATGCAAACGCTATGTGAAGGAACAGAAATCAAGCTTAACTTGCTGATGCAGACAATTTGAGGCTTGGAGAAGAGAAGTGATAAGAAAAGATGCTCTCAGACCCGTCTGCCTCTGTGATAAAAGTCAAGTGCGATGGTGACAATGATTGCCAAACATGGAAGGAAGAGATAGAGTTGAAAGTTGTTTGTTGAATGATGCGACTGTACCAAGAGAGAATCCTCACAGGCTCGCTAGGGAAAAACTATTCATCTTCTCCTTACAGATGTGGACACTACGGCCAAGGGAGGCTGAGTCATCTGTCCAAGAGTCTAGGAAAAGTTGGAGTAAGATTCTGAATGCAGGTCCATCCAACTCCCAAAGCTAGAGACTGTGCACATATGTGCATGCATGCTTTAACCACTATGTAAGCCCTCCTTGGAAGGAGGGATGGAGGGACAAGTCCAAGTGGACTGAAGGAAAACAAAAGGTAGAAGAGAAGGTAATGACAACCCAGTGAATGTCCTGAAGATAAATGCAAAAATGGGCTTTTACTGTTTAGGAAATTTCTCGTTGTTAGAGCCTGGCAGGTTGCTACTCATCCCCCTCAGAAATGTGGCCAGGCTCAGGTTGTAAGATTAGGGAAATACTGACAACTATAGTTTCCATACTCAGGATCCTTCTTCCCCGTGTTACCATCGACATCTTAAATAGTCTCTCTGCTAAGGGAGTCTCTCTACCTCACCTCCCAGACATCCAGACACCTCTGAGCCGCTCACCATTTTAGTACTTCTCTCTTAGAATTTCCATATCCCTTTGCTCTGCTTCTCAGGGAAGACCAAGACTAAGATGCTGTCTTAAATACGGTGCAGCACTGGAACTTAACTAAAGAGAGATGCTTAAGTCCTGCTCACTGCTTTGACACAGAAGAGACACCCACAGCCACTGCTGTATCCGGCATCATTCTCAGTGCACATGTATTTGATTGGTGTTTGGGAAAACTAGTAGCTCCTAGAATCAAGGGAATAAAAGACTCGGGAAACAACCTTCTTCCACCCAGTGAAAGATTACTTCTACCAAATGTCTCAATTTAACAGGGAAATGGGAACAGGTGTAAATTTGTTCATTTCTTTGATATAGCCAGTGAAAAGTCTGCGTGTTGTGAAGGAATGCCCCAAGTATGTGGATATGGATTAGATTTTTAATGGTAACACTTTTAAAGTTCATTAACACATATAACCTTCTATCAATCCTAGGATTTGATAAATATTGTTTCTTAGGAATAGACATATTTGTAAATGTGTTGATTTACAGAAAAGCATTAAGTATAAAGACACCACCCAACTCATGGAGGCAACTGTTGGACTAAGCATTACTTTAGGGAAAACTGGTATTCACCAATGGAGAGGAGAAGGCATAACTTCCATGTGGGTGATTTGCTTTGTTTAGATTTGACCATTTACAAGTTCCATGGCTGTAGGCGAGCTGAAAGCCTTCTCTAGGCTCTGGGTAAAAAGGGGAAATAATTGTTACTTCAAAGTGCTTTTGAAGATGGAGGTCAAGTAAAATCAATCTTTCAGTGGAATGCCTTATAGAGAACAGAGGCTCTAGCAGAAAGTGCTAGAAATGGCAGTGATGGTGGTAGGTGGGGGTGCTGTTGGGGGGTCAGGATGGCAATAATATTGCTGATACATATTATTATTGCTGTTGCTGCTGCTGACAGTAAAGATACTGCGGGTGAGTGGTAGAAAAGAAGCAATAGGGTGGGAGAGAGGAGGAGGAAGAGGAGGAGGAGGGGGAGCAGGAGGGGCAGCAGAAAGAGGGGAAGGAAGGGGAGGAGGAGGGAAGAGGAAGAGGAGGAGGAGGGGAGCAGGAGGGGCAGCAGGAAGAAGGGAAGGAAGGAGAGGAGGAGGAAGGGGAGAAGATGGAAGAAGACGGGGAGGAGGAGGAGGAGGAAGGGAAGGGGGAGGAGGGGGAGAGGCAGAAAGAGCAGGAGGAGAGGGAGGAGAGAGAGGAGGGAGAGGAGGGGAGGAGGAGAAGGGGCAAGGGAGAGGAAGAGGAAGAAAAGAGGAGGGAAGAAAGGAATGGAACTAGAGTGGGGCAGGAGAATCTACAGACCTCCCAACTTCCCATACATCCAAAAATTCAGACTTCAGTACTTGTTTCTGGATGCTGGGAACAAACTAACCTAACAATGATTCCACATTTCACTGATGCACCTATAATGCTGTCAAGGATGCATTTCTCAACCAAGTGGAACAATGTTCTTCCATTTCTACACCCTGGAATTTTCTCTTTGCCCATTTGTTTTTTCCACAATTGTGAATGAAAGCTTCTAGACAAAAATCATAGTAAGAATATTCAAGATACATCTTGACTGTTCAGATATCAACAAGAGCAGGCCCCAGTAATAGTCTTCAGAGTATGCTCTGGAAGGTAGATGATGCATATTAGGGTCTTAATGACTGTAAGCGCCTCACACTAAAAGGGAATCTATATATAACAAGAACAAAAACGATTAGCAATAGGTAAAAGTTATCCTTCCCAGATTTACTACCAGGGATAAGGCCTACATATAAGGAAGGGGAATTTTCTTCCAAGGATGCAGGCAAGTGGGATTTAAACTAGGCATGCATGGTCTATGGGGAATAAGCCTGGATAACTAGTTGACAGTAAAATTACCACCTAATTATCATGCCAAACAAATGACATTTTAGAGATAACCCAGATGCTAACCTTTGGCCTCAGCAAACCAAATGTTTATCCTTTTGGTAGGTACACAGGCACATGGCAGATCCTTAATGCAAGTTAGAAGTCACATGCAAACATACCTTCATAAACCCAAGGCTGCACAGCTTGGCTTTTGCTCCAAATTGCCACTTACACTGTGTGTCGGCATCATAAATCTGTCCTGGTAGTTTGTCTGGATATTTATACTGTCCTGTTTGCTTGGGCTCATCCACCAGACAGCCAGCCTGTGGTGTACTACATTGAAACACATCCTTATTAATAGTGTGTTCATCTGTGACCTTTCCATTTAAAACCACACCCCTTTGAGTGCAGTCTTGCAAAGAAACACAGAACGTGATTACAGGAATAGGCATATGTTTAGAGTTAAAATGTACATTTATTGCAAAGAGTGAGTCCTGTCTAAAAGGATGTAATGCACACAGTCATAAAGGTTTTATGGGATACTGGCTATGCAACTGACATGCCTTGGGATTGGGTACGATATGGGAAAGGTAAACATAAGTAACATCTCCCTCTCCCTTCCATGGTCTCATTCTACGACGTTCAGCAACATTCAGCATATTTTTACTGAGTCCCTAGTGTAGGGCAAGCATTATGCTAAGAACTAAAGGTAAAAAAAAATATATCAGAGTACCTGTCTTCGTGGGTTTTTACATAATGCTGTACTATTTACAAATGACTAAGAAGAGATCAAAGACGCACTTTATCACAATAAGCTTTACAAACAAAAATAAGTAAGGTTATATTTTTAAAAAAACCAGGAGGTTCTGGGTGTGGTATTGTAAGCCTTGAGTCCTAGCACTTAGGAGGGAGAAGCAGGACGATTAGGAGTTCAAGATCATCGCTCACCATACAGCAAGTCCAAGGTCAGCCTATAGGTACTACATGAGTCCCTGTGTAAAAATAAAAACAACCAACCAACCAAACCAAAGAATTGGGAGGAAAGATGCTCCCTGGGGCATTTGGGAGGAACACTGCTCTGAGGGTGTCTGATTGGGACACGTTGAGAGTTTGGCATGGATATATTTTAAAAGCCCTTTATTCCTACTTAGCTATACAATCAAACTGTGCCATTACCGAGCGGTTAATTAGTATGGGGGGTTAAATGCAGTTTGGGAATGAGACATATGGGGGTGGGGTGGGACTAGCCACCATGCATTCACAATGACTTTATGTAACTCTCAGATGTCTCACCGACGATGACAATTCCCATAAGGGCTATTATATAGCTCAAACAAAAAAAGGTGACATGGGGCTGAAGAGATGGCTCAGTGGTTAAGAGCACTGGCTGGGCTGCTCTTGCAGAGGACCTGGGTTCAGTTCCCAGCACCCATATGGTGGTTAACAACCATCAAAAACTCCCCTTCCAGGGGATCCAACAGCCTCTTCTGGCCTCTGTGGGCACTGCATGACATGGGGCACTTACATATATGCAGGCAAAACACTCATACAATAAAAATACACTCATAAAATAAAAATAAATTCAAAAAAAATTTTAAAGGTAACGTGTAACACAGCAGAACAGGACAAAGTCACTGTGGCTGTGGTCATCATTGCCTCAAAGCTCTGACCCGTAGCATGTCCATGGAGGAGCTCTAATCCACACTGAGCTGACCTTGACTTATAATATTTATTGATTCCATCCTCACATGAGGTAGAAAAGATGCTAGTCTCTAAACTGTGAATCTAAGATTATTAAGAAAATTGTGTGGCACATCAAATTGGCAAAAGTCCATTGGTGTATTTTTTTTAACTATGCTTTGAGCATAAATTATGGGAACATTCTTACATTTAGTCTGCCTTGTCTATGTATCTGGACAATTCTGTGAACATTTCCAAATCATACACAGTGGTTTAGGTATGAAAATATGAAGAAAATCAATTTTCAATGAAATTTTACTAGTATCTGGTCAAAGGGAGAGAATTTAGAATCTAAGTGTCCATGTGAGTGAACATGGATTAAAAACATATAGCTACATACATGTAATTAAGCTTTCGGTTCATTTAAAAATTTAATTGAACAGTATTATTTTTCTAACTCTTACATTTACTAAAACAGTCTAGAAGTTCTTGATTATTAAAATGACTTTACATCACTCTATGTTTAGATGTCTTTTGGACATAGAGCTAACCCATGCCATCTCAAAAATTTATCCAATCAAGAAAATGTTCTATTCATTAACACCACACACCACTGGATTGTCTTTAAGCCTGGCCAGTTTGTTGATCAGATGAAAATAATTAGTCAAGTAAAAAGGTTACATATCTAGCAGTCTTGGAAGTCAAAGAAATGGGTTATAACTAGATCTTAGAGTCAAAATGTATCTCTGTGCCTCGTCTGTCTGCAAATCCCCAGCTGTCATAGTTTAACCAACACAACTGATCTCTTTAAAACCCAATTTCCTCAACTCTAGAGGTCGAAAAGGATTCCTGTGTGGATAAGGTAATATAGTCTTAATTTAAATTTTTATTTATGTGTGCATGTGCATGCGCACACATGACACAGTGGGTATGTGGAAGTCACAGGACAACTTGCAGGAGTTTGGTCCCCAAGATGGAACTCAGGTTGTGAGGCTTGGCATCAAGCCCTTTCACCTGCTAAGCCATGTTGGGAGTCTGATAAGGCAATACGTGGAAGGCATGTAGCACATTAGGATGGCAATAGATATTTTTTCAAGTCAATAACCTTATAGTTATCAGTATCATCATCATAGGAACTTTTAGTCTTCCTGTTCATTGAGGGATCTAAAAACACTTCCACTGAGTAGCAGTTGTTTGGTTCATTTTATGATACTGGAGATTAAACCTGTACATGCTAGGCAAGCACTCTACCAATGAGCTACGTCTACAGCTCGGTTTTTTCCTTTTTACTTTTACATAGGGTCTTGGTTGCCCAGGCTGGCCCTGAACTTATTCTGTAGGCCAATTAGGCCTTGCACTTTTGACCCTCCTGCCTTAACCTCCCGAGTAGCCACAGTATCAGGCCTGTCTCGCCAGGTCTGGCTTGAATATTTGTTTTCACATCTATGGAACACCACTCCAGAGCTGGGCATACCCCTGAGTTTCACCTGTCTTACCTAAGGAATTTCCTGAGATACTGTCTGCTGCAAGAAGACCATGAAAACACCCCATTGTTTCCGGTCAGTGTGGGTGACATGATGTTGCCTTCTGCCTTCCTACATGGGTTGCCTTCACCATCGTGCACCATGCCGAAGCTGAAACAGAAGGGAAAAGCACCCTCAAGTCACCTCCAGAGAAAGCCAGATCAGGCACTAAGACTCAGGTGCAAGCCAGACTTGCAGAAATTATTTGAAAAAGGAAGACAGGTGGGTTACTAGAAGCTACTATAAATTCCTGCAGAAAAAATATAAAGAACTCTAAGGACTTCATTACTTCTTGGCCCTAAAAAAATATCAAAGAATGGGGGCTGGAGAGATGGCTCAGCGGTTAAGAGCACTGACTGCTCTTGCAGAGGACCCGGGTTCGATTCCCAGCATCCACATGGTGGCTATGAACTGTCCTTAACTCCAGTTCCAGGGGAATCCAAAGCCCTTGCATTGCACAACACGGATGCACTCACATACATGCAGGCAATACACTCATACACATAAAATAATAAATAAAATATTTTAAAAAATCAAAGAATGGTGTACTTCCTATACATTTTAAGGGCTAGATTTTTTTAGCTGGGGCTGGTGAGATGGCTTAGTGGGCAAAGATATCTGCTGCCAAATGTGACTACCTGAGTTGGGTCCCCCGGAACCCACATGAAAGAAAGAGCCTACTCCCTCAAATGGTACACTGGCCTCCACATGTGTACTGTGGCACAAGTGCATGTGCAAATAAATAAATAATAAAATAATGAGAAAAAAATTTCATAAGTCAAAACTTAGATTGCGGAATTTTGTTATTCAGAATGGCAAATTCCATTTCCTGTCACCAACCCTGGAACTATGGGATGGAAGTTGAGAGTGGGGAGGAGGTAGGTACAAGGAGAACATAATTATAAACTCTCTATGACTATCTATTCATAAGGCTAATATGATACAAACCTTTTCAGTGATGGCCAACTTAACAGCTGAAGCCATTCAGATTATAACTGAATTTCCTAATTCAAATAATGGAAACCATCAACTGAAGACCTATGAAGGAAAAAGATGGAACCCCAAACTCAACCCACTTTTACAGAGCTTTGAAAACTATGTCCTAACACTACGCTTTCTATGGTATTAAAGTAATTCCTTTGTAAAAACAATTAAAAGATACATTTTAAATATATCATATGATACACGTATGCTTTTTGCCTTTTGAGACAATGTGTCTCTATTTTCTAAATGCTGAGAGCATAGGTATATGCCAGGACAGGCTGGAGAATGGTTTGTCCCATTTCTCTAGAGAAGGTTTTAGCAGTTGAAGAATTTAAAGAATTTTAAGTAGCCTTTTACCTAGAAATCACGCATTGTTCCTAAATGACTTCTTGTGTCTCCTAAGACATCATTGAAATGAGAAAAAATTAGAATGAACTTAAAGGATTTTCAACTAAGCAAAACATAAAAGAAAATAAATATCCCAAAGACCAGAAAATCAGTGAAGTAATATGCAATCCATTTGTACACACAAAACAATGCTATAACTTGAAAAGAAAGTCACTGGAAATAACTAATCCTTAATGAATTCTGTGTGTGTGTGTGTGTGTGTGTGTGTGTGAGATGCATATTTGCATGTGTGGGTACATGTGCACATACACAGATGCTTGTATGTAGAGGTAACCCTGGACATTGTTCCTCCCTGGGTGTCATTCTTCAGGTACCATTCAGCCTTTTATTTTTTTATTTTTTGCAGCAGAGTCTCTCACTAGTCTGCAGGCTTGCCAAGCAGACTAAGCTGGCTGGCCAGTGAGGCCCAGGGAGATGCCCGTCTCTGCCTCCCCCGCCTTGGGATTACAAGTGTGCACCACATTTGGCCTTCTGTTTTCTTTTCCTTTTAACAGATTATTTATTTATTTATTTATTTATTTATTTTGTTCATCAGGTGCATGCAGGGGCCAAAAAGAGGGTGTCGGATGCCCTGAAACTAGTTATAGGTGGTTGTGAGCCACCATATGGGTGCTGGGAACTGAACCCAGGTCCTCTGCAAGAACAGCAAGCATTCCTGACTACTGAGCTCTCCATCCAGCCCTGTCATACAGCTTTTTAAAAAAACGTGGGTTCTGGGGATCAAACTCATGTCCTCCCTCTTGTGTGGCAAGCACTCTGAGCCACCTCCCCGGCCCCCAAGCTCTTCCTAAAGTTAGCAGTTTGAAGCTTTAAGCTTTATACAGGATGAATCCCATGCATCCCAGAGATGAACAATCATTAGAGGAAGGCCAAGGACTCCCTTGGCCAGTTTCCACAGAACTTGGTGAATCAAGAAGCCACTCACTTGTGCCCCGACTCATGAGCAATGGTGAAAGCAAGACCAAGCCCCGTGTCTTCGTTGATGGTGCAGCTTCGGTACTTGCTGCACATTCCACTGATAGGTGCAAACCCTATTGAAAGACCAATTTCAAATATTAACACAAAATGGGGTGTGGATATACATGATCATTTTTTATTGGGCTTTTTGAGACAGGGTCTCCCTGTAGCCCCAGCTGTCCTGGAACTCACTACGTAGACCAGGCTGGCCTTGAACTCACAGAGATCTGCCTGCCTCTGGCTCCTGAGTGCTGGGATCAAAGGCATGTGCCACCATGTCCGGAAATAGATCATTTCTTATGTCTTCAAAATGCTTCATGTGGCTTTAGTAGAATGGATTAACACATTTTTTTTTTGGTAGGAAAACACTGAAGGTATTTAGTTCTCTCTCTTGTGCAGTAATAAATGCGTATTTCACCCCTTTTGGCTGTTTTTAGATTCTGTCATTGATTGCTGTGCTTAACAACTTGATGGGTCAGCAGGTATACTGTAATCTCATTTTACATACAGAAAAGCATGTCACAGACAATTTATATGCCTTATATAAGCTTATTATTAGAGTCAGAGCAATTGATAACATGACAGCTACACTGTTGTATAATGTTAACTGAACAGTGGTATTATGGTTGGTCAAAATGTGCAGGACCTACTTGCAAGAGAAAGCCCCTTAGCTGAGGAACTATTGGCAGCTGATCACTGCTGGGTTGGGGAGAGTTGGTATTCTTTAAGGGAGTGATGGTAGATAGGCTAACCAGGCTCCAGTGGATGAACTCGCATTGAGGGGCATCTAGGTACACAAACTTGACTGGATAGGCCTTAGCATATATTACGGAATTCATAAAATCTGGTGGGGGGAGCTATCAGGAAAGTGTGGCTATAGGGGGTGCAGATGGGGAGGGAGGGTCTAAATATGATTAAGATATACTGTATGAAAAACACAAAAATTCAATAAAAATATATATTGTAAAAAATACGTCATCTTTTTCCAAATCAGAAAACATAAAAATATTCAGGCAATATATGAAGATTACGTTCATTTTTTTCTCATTCACTACAATGTAACAGGTGTTCTCACTCCCCAAAGTTACCTCCCTGTAAGAACAGTTATAACACATCTTATTTTGAGTCTATCTTGATTGACACTACAGTATGTGAATGTCTTTCTTCCCAGCTTTGAGAGCTAACAATCATTAAACAAGGCAGGATTACATACACTCTTTCCATACACATCAGTTGGCTGCATCCACTTCACTGCCAAGCCATCTGATCATCCGGGAAATTTTAACACGCCGGCAGGCATTCATTCTGTGGGTGGCTTCATCACTGTCAAAACCACCATCACCAAAGAAACAGTGGTCAAACACTGCACATTGTACTATACATGAATTATATGCCTCTGTGTGTAGTTATAGATTAGGAAACAGGCTCAGGAAGGTAAAGCAATTTGCTGGAGTCCTAGATCCAGGAATTTATGAGGCATATGCAGAGCCAGAGTCCATTTCTTTAAGCCCACAGGTTATGTTATTGAAGATAGTGACCCATGGGTCAGCTGGTGGGATTCCTGGCAGGACAGTGCCCCGTGAGACAGCTGCTGGTATCTGCTTGCTTTCCCCTAGTTTTCCTTATACTTTGACCTCTAGTCTCCTCTGAAAATCTTTTAAAAATATTAACAATATATTGGATTATTAACTGTTACTTTGCATCCTCCAAGCTAGGGATATGAGTGCATTTTTTAAATTATAATTTTTCTTTATTTTTGAGAATTTTATGCAGTTAAGTATGATCATACCCACCAATTTCCCTCCTCTAATTCCTGCTGCATGTCCCCAACATGTCCCCTTCCAAACTTTGTGTCTTTTTTTTTTTTTTTGGATAACCCACTAAGTTCAATTATTGTTGCCAGTATGTGCATAGTGTGGAACCATCCACCACACAGGAAGCCTACCACTGGGAGCACTCCTCCCCAAAGAACCATCCTCCCTCCCTCAGCAGCTATCAATTACTAATAGCTCCTCAGTAAAGAGTGGGGCTTGGAGAGCTCCTGCCCCATCCATGCTGGAATTGTGGCTGCCTTGATATTCTGCAGGTCTTGTTCAGGCAACCACAGCTGCTATAAGTTCATGAGTGTGACAGCCTTAAAAATCCTCCTATGGAACAACTCCTAAAGCTGTAGCCTTTCTCAAGACAAGGATTAAGTGGCAATTTTTCAAGCAGATTTTATAGAGAATGGAGACAATGGAGAATTTGAAAAACAGAACATGGAGGTTTTATAAAGGTTAATCTCTAGATCTAATATATCATAAGGAATTAGCAATACTTTTGAAGATAGAAGTGTTGGGGGAAGGTATCAATCATTTAAACTTATCAGTGCTTACAAATTTTATATCAGTCTGGCTCACTGGTGGTGGTATAGGTAAACTGACTCCCAATTTCTACTTCTGCCAATGTAACCTTATGAGGCACAGCCTCACCCATGGGTTTATGCACGATCTACAACTGCTTTTGCCCTAATACAGCTAACAGGAATGACTGCCACAGAGAACTATGGTCTGCCGAGCATAACATACTTATTCTGGGACTCTCTATAGAGGAAGTTTGCTGACCCTAACCTGACCAATCTAATTCATCAAAAACCAAGGGTTACACATCTACTACCCACAACTTAATGTATCTGACAATACAGGACAGATGAAAAAGATACAGTAGTGATTCTAGGTGCCTTGTTCACAAATGGGAGAGCTGAGTCCTTCAAAGCCAAGCAGCTTGCTGACGAAGGCACCGTGACACAGCCAGTATCATGAAGCAAGTCAGTTTCCCTTCAGCTTCTCAAGCTTACAACCATGGTGCTTATGCAATGACCTGCAACCATCAGTGATCATCAACTGGGGCAGTAAAGAAAAATACAAGTTTGTTCATGTACAGACTCCTCACCCCAGATCAAGTCCAGTTAGAGAGAACACCCTTTGCCAGGGAACAATGAAGGTATTTCAGAGTTTAAATATAGTTATGTGCTGCATAATGGCCTTGGGCCACAGTGGGCACATGTATGACAGGACTCTGGTGTCATGGGAGCACAGTGTCTAGTGACATCATAGCCATCTTGGTTTGTGTGAGTATATTCTATGACCGTCACACAGCAACACCATCATCTAACAACACAGTTCTCAGAATGTGGCCTAATCTGCAACTGACATGTGCATTAGGACTCTGATATGAAGGGAAAGGGCCACACAGCCAATAGAAACTTTTCATCCTGTGCTTCCAGCTAGCATGCGTATGTCAAAGTTCTGGGCACACCATACCTAGTGTGTCACATGGTTCATTCTTCCAAGAACAAATGTCAAATCCCGTGAGAAGAATAGCATGGTCGTGTCTCTTCCCGTTCTTCCCAACAAGGGCAGACTGCCACTGACAGAAGCTGTTTAGAGACTGGTCTGCGTGGTGATTGATCAGCAATCCTCTCTATGGGAAAAGCACAGACATTAGAATGCAAGGATTTTACCACAGAGCTGAGAGTGCTGATGTTGAATCTCAGGCAAGCACAGACATATCACCTTTCTAGTGGGAAAGGTCAATAGAGGAAAATACTTAAGCCAAAATAGGAGGAAAAAATAAACGAAACTCATTAGTAAAAAAAAAAAATCTAGCTTAGATTGATACAATTTTAAAAATAAATTCAGAATTTAAGTATGTGCTTTACAACCAACTATATTTCTATTATAAGGAACGTCTTTGTTTGTAACAAGTTAATTCTGATGAAAGTCAATCATTTCTTCAACAAAGCATAAGAAAAATAGCAACCTTAACACCTTCTGTGTGACTTTTCCAGCAAAGTGTTTGATATTTGAGAAGTTACAATCAACAATCAATACCATGTAAGTTTACTGAATGAATAACAAGACTCTAAAGTGTAAGACAGAAACTACCCTTAAAACAATCATTTATCAGAATGTTTGCTTAGACTATTGAGTTGGGTCAAGTCGACTGTTTTAGACAATCGCTTTTCAGTGAATTAGGATGCTGCTGGCTTTGGTATCCTTGGGCAATGTGCAAGTGGTAGACTAAATACAAAAGTGTCTCCCAAAGAACACATACCCTATCGTTTTTAAATTCCAGGAATAATTTGACAAGGCATTAACCTCTGTAGCTCTACACACCTGGGCAATTAGATCTTTTTTTTTTCTTGTCTCTGCCTCTCTGCTTTTCACATTCTTTATTGGGGTTAGAGTTGAAGAGGAAAAGCCTCGGGGGCTTTGAAAAATAGTCTGCTCAATTGATGAGATCCCTACTTCAGAAAAATACAGCTTAAAGATCAAAACACCACAAAGCAGAGAGCACCATGCAATTTAACTCATTAGTATACGTTCTGTTTTGTAATTTGCCCGATTCCCGTCTTGCAGCTCACTTGCATGGTACTGAGGCGACCATAGATCAACGACAAGGATTTTCCGATGACTTCCTTTCAATACATTCTTCCTGTATACACCTTAGTTATTACTTAGTAAAGCCAACCTATAAAATCTAAGTAGCCCTAAAAGTCTATGACCAAATCCCCCTTCATGGCAAGGCCTACATACTATTTATATATAGTTGTTACATATTTTAACTACGTTATATATGTGTTTGATATTTACAAATAACAGCTTTGTGATACCTTAGTTTAATGATTGGAATACACACACTTTTTAGACTGCACTTTCTTTGAGGAGATGGTCAGCATGCTTTCAAATTTGAGACTCAGTTGACTAGTGCCTGCATTAGCATAGACTGGCATCTAATAAATGTATTCTGAATGGCAGAAGGAATGAAGAAATGAACCACATTTTCTACTTACAGGTTCTTCTTCCAAAAGAATGAGGCTCACCACCACTATGTTGATGTCACTTCCAATGGCCCCATCTTTAAACAAACTGGAAACCTGTTGGAACAAGTGAAATCCAATCATCTTTTCCAGTTGCAGTCTTGAATGGGAAGGATCACTAGGACATGTCAACAAGGGTATAAGCCTCAGTTTTACCCAAAACTTGTACCTATGGAGGTATTTTCTCAAAACTCAATTATTTTTTTCAATGAAACCCTGAAGCTGCATGTGTGCCATTCTACCCATAGGAGAGAATTTTATGGCTTGAGGCGCCTATGGGGAGACAGAAGGGCTCCTGACGACCTCTCCTTACCATGTTCATGACTGTGAGGATGTATGTGGTGATGTTGCCCTTGCCGTGCTTGTCCACCATCTTGGTGTCTGCCACCACGAGGGTTTCCACGTTGAGACCCTTTGGTGACTTTCCCGCTGATCTTCTGGGCCGTCCTACACCTCCGTATTCATCAAACCGTAAATAGGTGTCCTCAGGGGGAGGTTTGGGGGCATCTACGGTGGACAGAGAGCATTTGGAATAGAGATCAGCAGGGGAAATCTGGGTAACACAGGCTGAGATATTGGAACACGGGGAGGGGAAAAACCATGATACTCTTTACAGTGCCACTGGCAGGAGCCACCATCATCACTGGCCCCAATGCTTTGCACCTGAGATTCATTCAAGAGACATTTAGGTGCTTGAATGTGTAGGCTGATGGAGAGGTGAACATATAGGTGTATTCAGTAACACTAAAATGTTCTGGGGAGTTAAAGCAAGCAAGCTAAAATTCTAATTGGCAAACAAGACAGGTCAACAAAAATCAACGAATGAATGAGAAAACTCTTAATTTTATTACTCTACTATAAAAATAGATATTGCCCTTCAGGCTGACCCCATGGTAACACTTTATATTTTCTAAACAAATATAAACTCCTATGAGTCACTGCTCATGTCTTATACATGTCTCATCAGCAACAAAATTAAATATAGCAAAATTGACTAGTCAAGAAAGACTTTCTGATTGACACTGACTAGTCATTAGGGAAATAAGTCAGGGCGTTATTAAAACAGTATGTTAAACGTTAAAAAATATAGTTTCACAACTTAATGTCATTGATAGTGGCCACCATGTTTGAGTAGAGATCGGTCAAGACAGGCATGGCACCTTTAGTTAATGGGGGGTGATAAGTCCATGGGTGACCTGGAAAGAAAGGGGAATCTAGAATGCACAGGACAATAGCCCTGTACTGAACTAGATAGGAATATTTTATTTCTTTTGTTTTGATTGTTGAGACAGAGTTTCTCCATAACCCCAACTTGCCTGGAACTCCCTATAGAGACCAGGCTGGCCTCAATCTCACAAAGACCCACCTGCCTCTGCCTTCTGAGAGCTGGGATTAAAGGTGTGTACTACTACTCTTGACTAATATAGGAATATTTTAATATTGCAACAACTGGTATAACCATAGTGGTAAAATCAGATCTCCACAGGCAGAAATGTTTACACTAGGTCATTTAGCATTCAATTTAAAACCCCTGGCTCATGGCTTAAAACCTCTTGACCCTTGGTCAGAGTAGCCTTTTCTTTAGGACGTGGCATCTACGCATAAGCTTGCCATAATGATTAGATTTGATGTGTCACATCAAACATATCAATACTACTACAACTATCATAGCTATAGCACCATTATAGGTAGGTGCTCAAGGGATCTCTTCGTGGGATAAATTGCCTCAGAAATACCAAAAGCCAATGAAAAGGGTTTAGAAACATTGTCTTTAATATCTAAAGGTGTTAGTTCCCCTTCTGCCTGTGAGGAGTCTTCCTCTCTGTTTGTGCTGAGCAGTGTGGTACCCAGTTCCCTTTTGTGGCAACTGAGTCAGTGGAATGTAGCTGGTGAATACAGGAATTAATAGTAAGTCACCGAAAAACATGTAAACATCTTAGAAACAATGGGAGTATATAAATCTGCCTTTTTAACTTTAAATCTTATGAAATGTATATACAAAGTATTTCTGATGAAAATCTATTCTCTGAATTTGCACTGAGCCCTAAGACTAAAATAAACACTAGATTTCTGGAATACAGAAAGAGAACCTATAATCCCCTAGGAGCAGTTTGTTACATCAATTACATGTTAAGATGATATTTTGTAAATAGTAGGTTAGATAAAATGTTAATAAAGGCAGTTTGCTCTTAAATTTTATTATTTAGAGGGTTTTACATGTGTATGTGGTAGGTTTGTGTGCATGTTTGTGTGTCGTTGCACATGTGCACATGCATGTGGGGGCAGAGCTGGCATCAGGTGTCTTCCTCAGTCCCTCTCCATGTTATATACTGAGGCAGAGTCTCTCAACTGAACCCAGAGCTGATCAGTTCTGCTGGTCTGGCTGGCAAGCTAGCATGGAGGATTTCCTGTCCTGACCATCCCAATGCAGGAGGACTATGGGTGAGCCACCCAGCATTTACATGGGTGCTGGGGATCCAAACTCAGGTCCTCATGCTTGTGCAGGAAGTCTTCACCCCTGAGAAACCTCACCAGCCACTATTTCTGTTTCTTTTTAAAGACAGGGTCTCACGTAGCTCAGACTAGTCTTGAACTCACTATAAAGCAAAGGATGACCTTGAACTGATCTTGCTTCGCCATCTGAGTGCTGAGATTATAGGTGTACATAACTACATCTGGCTTAAACTTTTTAAAAACATAACTGTTAGAAAATTCAAAATTACAATTGGAACTTGTTTTATATTATTGGACATTGCTGGTCTAGAAAAATGAAAAAGGGTCTGAAATACAGCTCAGTTGGCACAGTGCTTACCTAGCATGTAAGCCCTAGGTTTGATCCCCAGAACTGGGTGGGGGGGTGACTGAATGGGACAGAACATTTTTTTTTTGAGACAGGGGCTCATTATGCAGCTTAAGTCGGCTTTGCACTCACAATCTTCCTGCCTCAGCCCCCAGAGCACTGGTATTACAGGCATGTCCCTCCCACTGACTCACAAGTTCTGCCCGAGTTCCCCGTTCACTGCTAGCTCTCCCATAAGCCCGTATTCTCCCAAGAAGTCTCCTCTTTGTGTGTCTAAAGGGAACAGCCAGCCTACATTTCCCTCTGATTGTCTTCCACCATAGGAAGCTGGATGCTTTTCCTAAGAGCACAGAAACCAAGGTAAGATTCGGACCTGCAGTTAGAACTGGGAGTTGCTGGACTGGAGAGAAGGCTCAGTGGTTCAGACCACTGACTGCTCTTGCAGAGGACCAGGGTTTGAATCCCAGCACCCACATGGTGGCTAACTCCAGTTCCAGGGGATCTGAAGCCCTCTTCTGTTCTCTATAGGCATTATATGACATGTGGGCACTTCCATACATGCAGAAAACACAGTCATACACATAAAACAAACTAAAAAATATTAAAAACTGGGAGATGCTTAAAGAGCAAAAATGAACCCCTATCTGCATCTTTCAAAGTTAACCGTACAAGAGCTGCTCAGCCAACAGCGGCTTGGCCAGATCTTCTTCAGGACAGCATCACAGTACAAGCTCAGCATAGCATCTTTAGCCTGCAAAGTCAGCATACCCAACTGCCCCAAAGCCTGCCCATCCAGGCCCTCTTAAGAACAGAACAAGAGAAAGTTTCCTTACATACATTTCTTGCGTCGTCCACAAAAATGTTGCTTTTGCCACCTTCGATGGCGGTATCCTGTCTCTTGGCTCTGGGATGCGGGGGGATTGTGACTTGGGGAATGACCAAGGTAAGTCCAGTAGGAGCCAGGGTAGTCTTGGTACTGCTGGACCCTCTTCTCTGCTGTCCTTTTGTACAGTACATGAGGATGGTGGCCTGCAGGGGAGCTGTGGTCGTGTTCCTGGGCCAGCAGCTGAGGTAACGGTGAGATGAGGAACTCGTTGTTTCGTGTCCTTATCAGACCCGACTAAAAAAGCCAAACACAAAACACATTCACCATTCCATGAGGCCCTTTCCTGGGTTGATTCTCAGCATCTCTGTATGGATTACTTCCCATGGGAGAGCCTGTAAAATGCTTGACATCTGTCATCCCACTTTTTAAATATTTTATGTATTGCTTTTATTTTATGTGTATGAGTGTGTTGCTTGCATGTGTGTAAGTGTGCCTGTGTTGTGCAATGCCAGCAGAGGTCAAAGGGTGTTGGATCCCCTAGAACTGGAGTTATGAATGGTTGTTAGCCGACATGTGGAAATCAAACTGAGGTCCTCTGCAAGAGCAGCCAGTGCTCTTTACTGAGCCACCTCTCCAGCCCCCATGTCACACAAAACACTGCAATTATTTATTTATTTATTTCTGGGGGGGGGTATACACCTACATGTGCAGAGATCAGAGGACAATTTGTGGGAGTTAGTCTCTCCTACCATGTGGGTTCTGAGGACAAAACTCAGGCCATCAGGCTTAGCAACAAGCCTCCTTACTCTTTAAGTCATCTTGCCAGCCCTACCATGCCATTTTTATTGGCACCATTACATCTTGCCATTATGAGTCCCATTTTACAGAGAGGAGAACCAAGGCTAAGATGGTAAGTAGTAAAGCTAGGACTGTTAATCTACCTCCTAAACTAGTGCTAATCATGACTAATCTATTAATCATAGTTTTTAGTTATTTCGTGGTGGTGCTACAAAAATAAGACCAGGGTCTTACACATGATGAGTGTATCATCTGCCACTGAACTACATTCCCGGCTGCCAATCTTTTTTGCAATTACTTGTGTGTGTTATATGTATGGGGGGGGCATGCTTCCGTGCACATATGTGGAGGATATAGGAGAATTCTGGATGTCCTGCTCTGTCACTCTCTGTCTTATTGAGACAGGGTCTTTCACTGGACCTGGATCTAGGCTGGCAGCCAGCAAGCCCCAGTGATCCTCCTCCTCCATCCTCACAGCCAATAGATTATAGGTACATGTGGCCATATTCATCTTCTTATGTGGGTGCTGAGGATTTGAACTCAGGTCCTCATGCTTGCAGAGCAAGTGCTCTTTCCCATTGAGCCATCTCTCCAGTCCCTTGGCTGACAATCATGGTAAGTGTTCCTGAAGGGCTGAGCTATAGGATTTGTCTGGCTTTGGGTAGCAGACACAGATAAAACATAGATGGAGTAATGAACTTAGAGACACTCCACCCTTGAGTAGTTCATAGCTTGTGTAGTGAGAACAAGGCCTTCCATCTTGGTTTCATAAGCTCTAAAATAGTAAAACGGATTCACAAGGATGGCTGAGGAAGGAGTATACAATATCTCTAAGTGGGAGGTCCAGGGATCTAATGAGTTGCTTTCTCATGAAGAGATCTTTCTACTAAATTAAGAAAGGACACTGGTGAGACCAGGAAGTCACAACTTTACCTTCCATGTTCATGGCACAGCACATACTGATATACCAAACACTGTACCCATGGCATGCCCTTGACTTTCAGCACAGGCTATACTCTCTCTCTTCTAGATATCAGAATTCCCCAGTACCCAGGCCTGTTGTGGACAATGGGGTCTATAGACCAACAGCTGTAGCCTTTCTCTAGAACCTAAGTAAAGCAAATCCTTGGGTCTCACCCCATACCTATTGAATCTTACTAAGACCACTAAGGAATTAGTAAAATCATTGGAGTTTGAGAAACACCAATTCAGGCCTTTAAATTTGCTGGCCATTAGCATCACCTGAGTATTTCAGACACAGCCACATTCTCCCAGGGAGCATCACTTTCCATATCACTGGTACGTCGGCCTTTTTCTTTTCTAACCATCCAGGTAGTTACTGGACTATCCAAACAAGTTGTTACCCTGTGCCCTAGACCTCATCTTTTACATGTGCAATCTGGGGAGACTTCAACCTGCCCTGATCACCTTACAAGGTCAGAGAGAACAAGGAAGGCAGACGTCCTGATACACTCCAGGCTACAGAAATTTCAATGCTTGATAATGAGTCACTGAATTGGCAAATTGACATTGAGCACTTTTCAGGCAACAGGCTGGGCACACAAGAGCACAAAGAAAGGCAAAGCACATGGCTGGCTGGCTGGGCATGTGAACGCACAGTACACTGCAGAATGCTCAGGGAGGATGTTGGAACCAGGGCAGTTCACCACAGGAGTATCACATCAGCACCTCTGCCAGGCTACAGGATGCAGTGGGGTGGATGAGTAGCTTTCATTTATTAGACCCATGTTAGGGTTCAGCTTTGCATTCCTAGAAGTCCCAGAATGTGTGATTTGGTCCTGATTTTCTGGCCCCACAAATGTTTGCTGTGTACTTGGAAGCTAAGGGCTACAGTACTGATCTATCTAGAGCTTCTTGCCCAAGCACACACTGGGCACTAAGTCCTGGTCTTACTCTAGGCATTGGTGTTTACAAAACAAGCACATGATAACTATCAAAAATATTCATATCTCATGGAGATTATGGGAGAAGAGGATTCAAAGGATTAAACATTTAAAATAGGAATGGAGAGATTCCAGTTTTAAGACAGTCAGTTCTCTTCTTTTACCATGCAGGTCCCAGGAACCTAGCTCAGGCCATCAGTCTTGGCAGCAAACCTCCTTACTAACTAAGTCATCTTGCCAGCCCTACCTTGTCATTTTGACCTGCACCATTACATCTTGCCATTTAACTCCCATTTTACAGAGGGAAGGACCAAGGCTAGCTAAGACGGTAAGTGGTAAAGCTAGGATTGGTACTCTACCTGTACACTGGTGCTAATCACGACTGATCTATTAATTGTTATTTTTCTTGTGTTCTATGGTGGTGGGGATTGAATCCAGGGTCTTACACATATAAGCAGTAAAGTGCTTGCCTTTCAGGCATGAGCTCCTGAGCTCAATCCCTAGAATAAACATTTTTTTTTTTTTAAAGCTGGATACAGTGGCACAGTTTTGTAATCCCAGCATTGGGGAGGCACAGACAGGAGGATTATCTCTGGGGCTCACTGGCCAGACAGCCTCACCCACTTGGAGAGTTCCAGGCCAGTGACAGACCCTGCCATAGAAAACAAGGCAGAAACTTCCATCTCCCATCCTGATCCTTCCTACCTAATCTCCAGAATGGTCTCCTCAATGTCAGTTAGAATCCTCCTCAAAGATAAATCAAATGCCTGTGTCTCAAGGCTGAGGGATCATTGTGGAAGAGGGGGTAGAAAGATTGTAAGAGCCAGAGATGGTGGATGACCACAGGGCAACAGTTTTCCAGACAGCTGGACAGTTGCTCATATGAACTCACAGCAATGGTGACAGCGTGCACGAGTCCCATGCAAGCTCAAGCCAGACAAAAATCCCAGCATTGACATGGGGAGATGGGTAAGAAACCCCAACTCTGCCCGAGGAAGTCCTGGAAAGTGGTGGCTGCTGGGGTGGGGAGAGTCAATCTCATTTAAGACTGCAGGGGATGAACCACAACAAGGGGCACAAGTTTGACTCTATAGGCCCTATAGGCTTCGATGGATGGATGGACGGGTGGATGGGTGGATGGATGGATGGATGGATGGACGGGTGGACGGATGGATGGACGGGTGGACGGGTGGATGGATGGATGGATGGACGGATGGACGGATGATGGATGGATATACAAATGGAAGAATGGTGGGTGGACAGTGAATAGATTGACAGATGGATAGATGCAAGGAGAGGTGGAGGAGTGAATGGGGGTGGATCAATGGATGGTAGGAAGGAAATGGATGGGTGGATGGATGGATGGATGGGTGGATGGGTGGATGGATGGATGGATGGATAGTAGGATGTACAGATGGGGGAGGGGGTAGAAAAATCAATCACAATATATTGCATAAAATTTGCAAAAATTCAATAAAATATTTTTAAAAGATACACACACACACACGTGTAGTCATCTCTTTTCCTAGTCTCTAACTCCCCATAGATCCTGCTAGCTTCATTTGTTCCCCACCCCTCTCTTGCACCATACAAACAGAGCACTTCTTCCACACTTTGGCCCAATTAATCCGGCCACACTAAGTGGCTTTTTGTACTTCTTTTCTTCACCTGAAGTTTTCTAGTAATGTCTTTGACTTCTGCTGCTGGTCACTGATGTCACAGCTTCTATGTTCTCTCTTCAGAGAAGCTATGCTGTGACCCTATAGAAACTACTCTGTCCTGAGTAGTCCAAGAGACTCCCAAAATAATACAAGCTATTGCCAGAGCCCCTGACCTCCCAGAACTCAAAGGCAAGGCCCTACTGCTGAAGACAGGTCACAATTCCGACACAGTACTTGGAGCAATGGAGCAGGAACTGACCTGGAAGCCTTTTCCCTGAAGTTTAGCTCTCATAGCTCTAGAGGACACTATGTAAGCTGCTAAGAGATAAAATCAATCAATGGTCCAACCCAGTCCTAAAGCCAAATAACCATAACAACTGGCACAGCATGCTACCACTGTTGGTGCAGTAGTGGCACTGTTATATGAGGGGTAATCAACAGCTATCTAACTGGACTTAAAGCCCTCCCAATGGGAGGGAATTCACAGGTGGCACTGTAAATACAGCCAAATACACATGGCTGGAGAGGTCATAGGTCCTAGAGAAAACCCTGTCTCTGTCATATCTCTAGACAAATGAAATTTCTTACCATATCTTAAATATGAAACCTTATATTTACAGACAAGTATATAGTATAATACTCATCAAAGCTTCTTTTTGCAATAGACAGAGGTTATTGCAGAGTTCCAGAACTGGTCACGCACAGAATATACGTCTCAGAGATGCCCACCCCTAGGTAACATATCTACAGTGGAACCTCTACACCTAAGGCTCACAGAACATAGAAAAGGGTTAGAGCGAACACTTGTTCATCCCTTGGCTCTCAACAGTGAAGCTTCCTTATGCGGCAGCGTGTGATACACATGGAAGGTCACAACTAGCTAAGCTTTACAGAGTAAGAGATTGCAGTGTGTGTCTCCTTGTTTAGGACC